CCCCCCCCCCAAAAAAATAAATAAATTTAAGTTTGTTTTTAAAAAATATTTTCAATTTCAAAAATTATTTTATATTCTAATAAAAATAAAAGATATTCTCAAAAATATTTTTCATTCATAAATCAAACACTAAAAACCTTTTTCGAAAAACATTTTGTAATCACCAACCAAACATGAGAAAATAAGTCAAAAATCAACTTGTTTTCCAAGAAAACATTTTCTAGGAAAACATTTTTCTTCATACCAAACACACCCTTAATCTCAATTCATGGATCACTTCAAAATTAGAGCAACCAAAAAATGCCTTTGTTCACAAGCAAATTTTTTTTTTCCTCTGCCTTTGCAGAAAGGCGGAAGAAAGAGCATGATTATTATTTAATGAATGGAAGTTCGGTGCTTGAGGAGCTTCTTTCTTTATGCGATGGAAATTGCAGAATTCACATCCGTTACTTCTCTGCCATAGAGATTGACAATGCAATAAAACACCCTAAAACCAAAATGAAGCTTGCCAATGTGTCTATGGTTACGAGATTGCTAGACAACCGCCGTGTTTTAATTAGGTTCAATACATGTTCATTCAATAATATCCATCGAGATTTAGCGATTACTGCTCAGATGAGTCATCTCAAGAATGTGTTGAGACTTGTTAGTTGCTCTCTAGAATTCGAAGATCCAGTCATCTCTTAGATTGCTAATTATGAAATGGTGGCTAAAAAACATTCTAATGATGTCCATAAGCTTATCCTTCATACTATGCCTATTTCTATTTGTTGAATCTTTGGAAGAATAGATGTACAACCAAATATGGCACTAATAAATCATCTTTTGCTAGAATTCTCTATGTTATTAACTATGATATTCATAACAAAACTTACCCTTACTATTCAATGGTCCAACAAGTGGCAACATCGTTACAACGAAATATATAGAATCTACCAAGCATATCATTTAGGTAAAATGGTTTAGAACAGAGGCTGAGTTTGTGAAGGTCAACACTGATGGTAGTGCTCTCTTTAATCCGGGAAGCATTGGGGCTGGTGTGATTTTCTCTAATTAAGGCCATGTCTAAACCTTTGGGGATAGGTACCATCACCAACAATCATGCAGAGGTTGAGGCTGCATGCTCTCTTAGAAATTCAATGGATCCTCAAAATTCCATTTAGAATAGACTCCAATATCCTTGGAACCTGTTCTGCATCTTGGAGGAGATATGGAATCTCCATCAACAAGCTAAGGTTATTGAAATCAGTCATACCTACAAAGAGGCTAATCTTCCAGCTGATTCTTTATAAGAAATCAGCCACTTTCATATTGATCTTAAATTGCATGATTCTTTAAGAGATTTGCCCACTCAGAGTAGGAACAGGATCAACTCAGAACCCTCACTTTTTGTGCAATAGCATGTACACCACATATGAAAGGTAAAACCGTACTAGGAAACTCGTGTGATGAGTTTGACCCAAAAGGCCAACATATTGTTGCAGGCGTTTCAAATTTGAGACCTCCATTATGGAATTGCCAAGTCAAACAATTTGAGTCACGCCAAAGGTGCTTCGAGAAATCTTTGATCTCCACAAATAAATCTTTAATTAACATTTGACCATGAGTATAGTGTAAAATGAAACAAAACACTCGATACTTTTTCTATGTACGAAAATAAAGAAAGTGGTGCTTGATTATTTCACTATAGATCATTAAA